GAAGGCCCTAAGTTCAAGCCCCAGTACTGAAGAAGAAGAAGAAGAAGAAGAAGAAGAAGAAGAAGAAGAAAATAAATAAATAAATAAATAAATGTTCTAAGAACCGGAAATACAGAAATAAATAAAACTCTTGCCTTCAAGGTGCTTGTGTTCTAGGGGTTGACACTGTAAGCAAGAAAACAAACATATTAACCAGTGAGAAATTCTAAGGATTAAACACTGATGTCCTATTTTAATTTGGTATTTCTCTAAAATACTAACAGTTAATTAGCCACTGGAAGGACAGGACCCGCACACAGAGCTGTGGAAGGGTTCTAGGCAGAAGATAAAGGGCAGGTATGAAGGTATAATTCAGAGGAACTTGCTTCTGGGGTGGCAGTGTCCTGGCCTTGGCTTGGCCACCTCAGGCTTGAGCTGCCTCCTCCTAGGCAGAGGAGAGGTGACGTGGTAGTGAGTGCAATACACCAGGGCACACAGGTGGACGTCCACATGGATGGACATCCACCAACGTCCCTCCTGTCCTGTGGGTTTTTGAATTCTTCATTGCTGCATTCCCAACACCTACTATAGCTCCAGGCACATGGTGGGTTCTGAGGGAAAATTGAAGCCATGTACAAACCCAGAATAGGTAGGTGACACTGTAGGAGTGACACTGTAGTGCAGGTGGCTGACTACACAGGGCCCTGAACACCATGGATTTCTGGGTAACTCGGAAATCAGACTCATTTGGTTCAAATCTTGGGACCAGTGCTTAGTCACTCTGTGTGGTCAGGGAAGTTAGTTAATATCTCTGAGCCTTGGGGTTCCTCCTCCATAAAATGGGGTTAAAAATACTTCCTGTCATAATGACCAAATGAGATTAAGCACTTTGAATGGTGTCATATACACAGGAAGCAGTGAATAAACATGATCTGTTATCAGTTATAATCGTTCATTGCCTTAAGACCAGGAATGGGAGCTGTGGCCAGGGTCCTCATCTGATCCCACTTGTGATGTTATTTCTCAACAATTCTATTACTTTCTGGCATTGTCATACTCATGTCATGATGTTGTGAGTTGCCGAGTCTGTGATCTGCGACATGATGGGCCCTCAGCTCTGGGGACCCAGCCTCTCCTGGCATGAGGCATGTGCAGAGTCCCCCAGAGGTCCTGGCCAGATGCCCATCCATCTGTCCCAGCCCTTCCGCCCCGCCCTCACCATCTGTCTCTACCAATGACCATCGGTCTGGATAGGTCTCAGCATCAGAAGACAAATGGCTGTCACCAGAGGCCATTTCGAGGGTGATGGATTGCAGCCCTGAAACCAGGCGGGCTGGGCTGGGGGTGGGGTACCCAGTACAAATCAGCCGGGAATGAATGCCATTCATCATGGCCGGCTACCTTCAAGGATAAGTGACACTGCATGGGCTCCGGAATGTCACTACTCTTGAACACAACAAGCAAGTTAATGGAGCCTGACCTGGCCCCCAGGGTCAAGGTCTGGGGTGGGGGTCTTTCCTAGGTTTCCCTCTCTATCTCTGTTAGAACTGCAGACCAGCTGGCAAGGAAATTTTCCTGGTTCCCCAACCCAGCTTAGCCAGCTATGCAGCCTGTGCCCAGAGCTTCCAGTACTTCCCCAGGCTTACCGCTTCTCCTTCCCCAGGACTGCTGCCAGCAAAGCCCACCCACTGGTCTTCATCAACCCTTGCTTTGGCTCACAGTACCAGTTCTTCTTTGCCAGCCCTGAGTCTCTCTTCAGACTTGCCTTGCAAACCTCTTCCTTCAGGAAGCCTTCTTGGATTTGCCCCACCTATTTAAGCCTCTCTGCCACCTGCATTGTTGTGAGCAACTCATAGCAACTACCTTCCCTTCTTTTCAGCCACCCAGTAAGCACATTTTTGTTGTTGTTGTTTGTTTGTTTGCAGTGCTGGGTATCAAACCAGGGCGGTGCATGCTAGACAAGTATTCTACCACTGAGCTACATTCCTACTCCTACAGTAAGCACTTTTAAAAGGCTGCAGATGAGCCAGGTGTGGTGGTACATGCTTGTATTCTCAGCTACTCAGGAGGTTGAGGCAGGATGATCTAAAGTTGGAGGCCAGCCTGGGCTACATAGCGAAGGCCCTTTCACATGCAAGGCCCCCACCATACATGTAGTGGCCTGGCATTGCAGTTTGTGAAACAGACCCACAAAAATCAGTGTATCTGCCTCAAGACAGAACCATCCCCTACCCCTTTACAATGGGACAAAGTGAGGCTCAAAGTCAAGTGCATGCTCATTTATTGTTCCCTGCCCCCATTCAGGACAAGAGTGAGCACAGCTAAGAACAAGCACGGGACCCTGTCTGCCTTCTGCAGGTCCAGTGCTCCCTCTCCTCTCCCAGGCCCTTCCTGGTGAAGGGACAGCAGGCCAGGTGGCAGCTACTCTGAGTTGCAGATACTTCCTCCTCCAAAGGTGCAGTTCAGAAACGAATGCCTCTGGCCTCCCTGCTAACACCCTTGAGTCTTTTCTCTGCTAGCCCTGTCCTGCACTCTCCTTCATAGTATGTGGACTTCGATTGGGCTCTCTGCTGTTCCTGTGCCTTACATGGGATGGGCTGCATAGCAGGTGCTCAATTAATGAGTCAAGAAGAGACTTGAAGAGAAAATAAATGAGCACAGGACCACAAGCCTCCCAAAGGCCCTCGGGTGTCTGGCCTTCTGCACTTTGCCTGTAGCAGCATTCCCCAGAACCACACCCAAAGCTAGAGCAGCCATGGCCTCAGGAGCCTGGAAATCTAGATTTGAGGTCCAGCCACTCTTACATACTGATGGTGTGGTCCTGAGGGAGTTAGGACATTCTGTCATGGCTCAGTTTCCCCATCTGAATGAAAGTCAGGTTTTCAACTCTTGTGAAGGAAGAGGAATGACGATAACTAGACAAAAACGCTTTGCAAATGGCTAAGTTACAGATAGTGGGGATATTTGGACTCATACAGCATTTTCTATGTGAAGGTAGGGAGCATGGTGTTTCAGAGCATGTGAGAAGCCAGGATTTCTGCTCAACTGAGGCTCCAGCACTGACTAGGGCTTCTCTGTGCCTCAGTTTCTTTATGTGTCACATGAGGATAGCAGCTGAAGGTTACTATGCAATTTGGGTTCTGTACCTTGAACTCCTTCTACAGCGTCTGGCACACAGCACCATACAGCGTTACACCCCAGGCATTTCATCAGCAGCAAACATCAGCCTTTCCCATTTACCTGGTGTCCCCGAGTCACAGCCCAGCAGAAGGGCTATGGCTGTGTTGAGGCAGGTGAGTGAAAGGAGATAATTCACCATGGGATTCCTCCCACCCCCTGCTTTCCTTAAACAAACAGGCATTCCCCAGCACAGACCCTGAGCCATCTCTAGAGCAATACATAAATACTCTGCAGTCCATCTGTATGTCATTACAAGACAGCATTCAAAGGAAGCGTCTTTGGGTCTGTCTTGCTTGTTAAAAAAAAAAAAAAAACAGCCTGCACCCAATTTAACCTCCTAGGCCAAGTCCTCTTACTTAGGACCTTATGAATATTGGTCACATCTCATGCATACAATTAAAGGTCAAAAATTAACATAAACGCATGCACAGAATACCTCTTGTTACTGATAAGGCTGTGTTAACTAAACCTGCCAGCCATCCTAGCCCTCCCTCAAGACTGCCCAGATTTTCCCCACCTTGCAATTTAGAAATTGGGCTTAAAAAAAGAAATCAAGGGCCAGTGGGAGGCTACCTCAGGAGGTTCAGGTGCAGCTGCAGGCACGGGAACTGTAGGAGGCCACATAGACACGCCGAAACCAGGAAATGGAAGAATACTATTTCTTTACCGACCATTCACAATGGCGTTAAAAGACTCCTTGAAATGTTGGAGATTGGACTCCGGCAACAAGCAACTGACAACTGGGGACAGTGGTCTACCTGGGTTAAGTGGGTGCGGTTGATGGTCCCTGTATGGGGAACCCTTATTTTTTTCCTCACTTTGCTGACCACTGGACCTTATATCTTTAAATCACTTTTCACTTTGTTTCCCAGAGGCTCCCTGCTTTTGTCTAGGATACCACCCCAAACAGGTCAACTCAATCCTATTCCTTCACTGGGCCTACTACAGCTGTCAAACAAGAAGACCGGGTCAATATCCTCTCCCTTTAAGAGACTTCAGCGCCTCAACCCAGCAAGAAGCAGTTAACAGACTATCCTCTTTCCTTTTCCAATGTATGTATCTCAAAAGGCAGGAAGGAATGTGAGGGTGGACATCCGGGCAGCCTTGTTAGGACCAAATGCCATTTCACTTACAGATGCCTTACTGCAAAAACCTCACCTGGCCCCAAAGAATAACAAACATCTGCCTTAGCCATTATCTCCAGCTTCTGCTGGAGACACTCCCCTCCCCCCACATCCCACCCCCACCCCCACCCCCACCCCCACCCCCACCCCGCAAGCAGGTTTTCTTTCCCAAATAAAACCCATCCTGACTTTGAAAAAAAAAAAATAAGGGCTGGTGGAGTGGTTCAAGTGCTAGAGCACCTGCCTAACAAAGAAATCAAAGCTTCCATGCCACCTGGGCTTCCCCTTATGGAGCTTCCTCTTCCTCTTTCTTTCCTTTCCTTTCGATAAGGTTTCACTCCTGCTTTGCAATTTGTGTCTCTGGTCAGTTCTCTGTTCAAGTGACACAAGAACTTGGAATCTTGTAGATTAGTGTCTTCTTAGACTACTCACCCCAGTAACACTGTGGCCCACCTTAAAAAGGGACGATGACCACGGGGCATACTTGCCATGTGTGCCTTCTGTGCCCATAGAAGAGGCTCCTGGCTAATCCTAGCTCTCTTTCCCACCAAACCTACAACCAACTTCAGGATCATCCATGGAGACAGGACAGATTGCTTGGAGATCTCTCTGCTGTCCCTGCCTTGGGACATGGTTTTGTGTGCAGGCTCTGGGAGTCCTAAGGCGGGGACACTGTGGTGACCTGGCATTTTGCAGAAGGAGCTAGAGGGGACTCACCAGAAATGTTGCTGGCCAGGGACAGGTTCTCGCAGTGCTGGTCCTGGAGGGAGGTGGAGACGGGGTTCAGCCCCAGGAGGAGAAGGGCCTGTGGGCACAGGAGGGTGAGGGGCATGGTCAGGTGAGTGAGTGCAGTCTGGCCTGCAGTTTTCTGCCTCTGTTCCCTTCCCCTCCTTCTTTTCCCACCTCCCCCAGTCTCTTGGTTCCCCTCCCTCTGTATTGTCCTCTCATCCTGGAAGGTCTGGAGCTGCCCTGCTCACAGAGGGCCTAGAACTGAGACTGGTAAGAGAAGCAGCTGGAGCCCGTAGGACAAAGTGGACATTTATTGCTGCCAGCTGAGACCTCCAGCAAGGCTTTACCAGAGGCAGCCATCTCCATTGCATGGATACCAAGCATGGCCTAACCTTGTGTGCCCCCTGCACACACGCGTGTGTGTGCGCACACACACACACACACACACACACACACACACACACTTGCCTGCTGAGATCACAGGCCCTCATTAGAATACCTCTCTCCTCCCGAGTTGTCCCAGGCTCTCATCCCCACCTGCCTTATTACTGGTCACTACCAACTGTGCTTCACTGTGTATCAAGCCCTTCTGATACACAATGAGCTCCCCTTGGGCTGGTGTGGCTGGGCCTATTTGCAGATGAGGAAACTGAGGCGCAGATAGGTAAGAGGACAAATGTATCTGGAAAGATGGCTCCTATTTCAAGGGGAACCTTTGAGCTTTAACCTCCCCAAAAGCTCCTTGTCACTCTGGTTCTAGAATTCTGTCTGGTTGAGCCCAGTGGCAGGGCCCCAAAACTGCAGGCCTGCCCCTTCCTGAACCATGCCCTCCTCCCCCACAAAACCACCTCCCTTGAGGTCACCACTCTCCGTCTGTATTTATTAGAGTCTAGCTAGTCCTGGCCACCAGCCCTGGTTCCACTGTGTTGCCATGGGCAGGTTACTTGACCTCTCTGTGCATCAGTGTCCTCATCCGTAAAAAAAAAAAAGGAGAAAAAAGGTTGAGTGTACGGCCCCCTCCCAGGCTTACACAGTTGTACACAGTGCAGCCTGCACTGTGAGGGCATGCTCTGTGCGCTGCACTTGAATTTGCTAGATAGATGAATGAATGACACAATTTCTGGTCCACAACAGGCGCTCAGTAAGGACATGTTGACTGATCTGAACTTTGCAGTTGGATATTTACACTAGGGTTTCATTTGCAAGGGGCTCAGAAGCAGGTGGGGGCAGGACAGGGAGCCTTGTGACATTTCCTCCTTTGGATGGGGGTCCCGGGCAACGTGACCAGCACTATGGCTAGGCAGGGAGGGGGCCTGGACACTGCTGTCTGTGTCACTGCTCTCTGCTTGCTCTCCTGAGGCCACATCCAGCTTTAGAAGCAAAGCTTCATTCCAGTTTTTCTAATTTGCCTGTGGCTGAGCTGAGTTTGATTGTGTGTGTGTGTGTGTGTGTGTGCATGTGTCTGTCTTTCTTTTTCCTAAGGCCAATTTTCTGTGCTCACTTGCCAGGAATGTCCCCTATCCCTCCCCACCATCTCCCTGGCCCCCGCCATTACTGATACCAACTCTTTCCCTCCTGTCCCAATGACAACAGCAGTTCTGCTGTTTCCAGGAGAAAGGAGAATTCCCACTTCTGGTCAGGGCTAGGTTCCCACACCACACCTCCTGCAGGAAACCTCCCTCACCCTGCTGGCACATAGGGCCACCTTGTCACCTCGTTATCTGCCTGAGACCTTAGCTCCCTCACTGCTCTCTCACTGGTATACCCCTCTGTCCTGTCCTAAGGGTCTCTGCTCTGCCTACACCAAGTGTCAGGCTCCTAAGCATCCCAGGCTCCTATCTGTGCTGGTACCAGGGTCTCAAAATGATTAGACAAACCCATTCATCTTTGCCCCCAAGCAACTTCCAGCACTTTGTTAATCAGTAATTAAACTTCACAGTCTTCAGAGAGGTGGAGAAATTTCTTTATTTCCATTTTCCAAATGCAAATGCAGAAGGGGAGAGAGGAGGAAGCCACCAGGCCAGCCAATGTCCTTGCCCTGCCCTCCTCCTGTACTGAAATCTGCATACCTCAGAAGCCCCTTCAATGTGCCTCTGTCCCACAGAGCCTCCACACGCAGGAGGCTCATGAATGGAGGCCATGAAAACCATTTAGTACCAAGCACTAGGAACCAGGGCTGTAATTAAATGGCAAATACACAGGCCGGAAGTTCTTATTCGTGCATCTTCATGGCCTGGGCTTCACAGAAGAGCAAAGCAAATCCAGATTCATTGTAAAACCAAAACAAATGCCACAGGACAAAGGGCTGCCCATAGCCCTGCTGCTTGGGTTTCCTTGGATGTGCTGGGTCAAAAGCCATTTCCATCCACAGAGGATGGGTGTTGCAAAGGCAAATGCTTCTTAGAATTCCGGAGCTGACCTTTCTTCTCCGCAAAGGTTGGCTCTGTAGCAGCATCTCTGTCTGCGCCCCTCAGTTTGCAATCCTGAATCACATGTCTGTGAGAAGTCTGGACTTCTGCATATTTCCTGCTGCTGTCTGCTCTTCTCCTTTTCACATTCACTACCATTCTCTCTCCATTAACAGGCAACAGCTGTACTGGCAGGAACAGGTCCCCAACGTTTCTAGGGTATCATTTGCTTTCTCTCAATAGTGAGGATTTTTAAAAATTTTTTTGGCAGTACTGGGGTTTGAACTCATGGCAGCAAACTTGCTAGGCAGGTGCTCAACCATTTGAGCCATATCCCCAGTCCTTTTGCTTTTAGTTTGTTAAGATAGGGTCTTACTTTTGCCCAGGCTGGCTTTGGACTTCAATCCTCCTACCTCTGCCTCCAGCATAGCTGGGATTACAGATGTCTGTTACCATACATAGCCTTTAAAAAAACCCAACCAACCAAACAACAACAAAAAAAACAGTGCTATACTATGCAGCCCAGGGTTTAGAACTGGCAATCCACTGGAGGAGTGGCTCAAGCGGTAGAGCACCTACCTAGCAAGCGCGAAGCCCTGAGTTCAAACCACAGCACCAGGAAAAAAAAAAAAGAATGAACTGCCAATCCTCCTGCTGAGATTATAGAAATGAACCACCAAGCCCAGCTAAAACTTGAAATTCTTTTTTTATTATTGTTTTATTATTCATATGTGCATACAAGGCTTGGGTCATTTCTCCCCCCTGCCCCCACCCCCTCCCTTACCACCCACTCCGCCCCCTCTCTCTCCCCCCTGCCCCCTCAATACCCAGCAGAAACTATTCTGCTCTTATTTCTAATTTTGTTGTAGAGAGAGTATAAGCAATAACAGGAAGGAACAAGGGTTTTTGCTGGTTGAGATAAGGATAGCTATACAGGGAGTTGACTCACATTGATTTCCTGTGCGTGGGTGTTACCTTCTAGGTTAATTCTTTTTGATCTAACCTTTTCTCTAGTTCCTGTTCCCCTTTTCCTATTGGCCTCAGTTGCTTTTAAGGTATCTGCTTTAGTTTCTCTGCGTTAAGGGCAACAAATGCTAGCTAATTTTTTAGGTGTCTTACCTATCCTCACCCCTCCCTTGTGTGCTCTTGATTTTATCATGTGCTCAAAGTCAATCCCCTTGTTGTGTTTGCCCTTGATCTAATGTCCACATATGAGGGAGAACATATGATTTTTGGTCTTTTGGGCCAGGCTAACCTCATTCAGAATGATGTTCTCCAATTCCATCCATTTACCAGCAAATGATAACATTTCGTTCTTCTTCATGGCTGCATAAAATTCCATTGTGTATAGATACCACATTTTCTTAATCCATTAGTCAGTGGTGGGGCATTTGGCTGTTTCCATAACTTGGCTATTGTGAATAGTGCCGCAATAAACATGGGTGTGCAGGTGCCTCTGGAGTAACCTGTATCACAGTGTTTTGGGTATATCCCCAAGAGTGGTATTGCTGGATCAAATGGTAGATCGATGTCTAGCTTTTTAAGTAACCTCCAAATTTTTTTCCAGAGTGGTTGTACTAGTCTACATTCCCACCAACAGTGTAAGAGGGTTCCTTTTTCCCCGCATCCTCGCCAACACCTGTTGTTGGTGGTGTTGCTGATGATGGCTATTCTAACAGGGGTGAGGTGGAATCTTAGTGTGGTTTTAATTTGCATTTCCTTTATTGCTAGAGATGGTGAGCATTTTTTCATGTGTTTTTTGGCCATTTGAATTTCTTCTTTTGAGAAAGTTCTGTTAGTTCACTTGCCCATTTCTTTATTGGTTCATTAGTTTTGGGAGAATTTAGTTTTTAAGTTCCCTGTATATTCTGGTTATCAGTCCTTTGTCTGATGTGTAGCTGGCAAATATTTTCTCCCACTCTGTGGGTGTTCTCTTCAGTTTAGAGATCATTTCTTTTGATGAACAGAAGCTTTTTAGTTTTATGAGGTCCCATTTATCTATGCTATCTCTTAGTTGCTGTGCTGCTGGGGTTTCGTTGAGAAAGTTCTTACCTATACCTACTAACTCCAGAGTATTCCTACTCTTTCCTGTATCAACTTTAGAGTTTGGGGTCTGATATTAAGGTCCTTGATCCATTTTGAGTTAATGTTGGTATAGGGTGATATACATGGATCTAGTTTCAGTAAAACTTGAAATTCTTAATCTGAGATCTACAAGCATCTAGGGGCAGTGCGAACAGCCCGTAGTTAAATGCAGAATGGAGTGTTTAATGAAAGTCACTTCCTGGGACAGGTTCATCCTTCGTCTTCTTCCCAGCAAGGTCCAAACATAAAAAAAAAATCCTGAAAACTGTGACTGGAACATATGGTGAACGGTGTCACAACCAAGGTTCAGGCCACCACCAAACTGGACTTGTCACTCTCTTTTATATCAAATCAAAGTACCTTTGGCCCTAACAAGCACCACTTCCTTGGATTTCCTGCCTTGATTTCCCCACTCCATCATCAGCCATAACTACTGGCTGTCTTTTCAAAACCATTTTTGACAAACCAAGTTTTCAGAATTTCATGAGATTTGCCATTTTCCAGCTAGAAGAGAAACCAAAATGTCGAGTGCTAGTTCTTTTACTGGCTAATGCCCCACTCCCCACTCCGCACTCCATCCTGA